TATATAAGTTGTTACAGAGAGTGTTATATGTAAGTTGTTACAGAGAGTGTTGTTACAGAGAGTGTTATATGTAGGTTGTTACAGAGATTGTTGTTACAGAGAGTATTATATATAAGTTGTTACAGAGAGTGTTATATATAAGTTGTTACAGAGAGTGTTATATGGAAATTGTTACAGAGTGTGTTATATGGAAATTGTTACAGAGAGTATTATATATAAGTTGTTACAGAGAGTGTTATACGTAAATTGTTACAGAGAGTGGTATATATAAGTTGTTGCAGAGAGTGTTGTTACAGATAGTGTTATATATAAGTTGTTACAGAGAGTGTTGTTACAGAGAGTGTTATATATAAGTTGTTACAGAGAGTGTTGTTACAAAGAGTGTTATATATAAGTTGTTACAGAGAGTGTTATATGAAAGTTGTTACAGAGTGTGTTATATATAAGTTGTTACAGAGAGTGTTGTTACAGAGAGTGTTATATATAAGAGTATTATATATAAGTTGTTACAGAGAGTGTTATATATAAGTCGTTACAGAGAGTGTTATATATAAGTTGTTACAGAGTGTGTTATATATAAGTTGATACAGAGAGTGTTGTTACAGAGAGTGTTATATATAAATTGTTACAGAGAGTATTATATATAAGTTGTTACAGAGAGTGTTGTATATAAGTTGTTACAGAGAGTGTTATATATAAGTCGTTACAGAGAGTGTTATATATAAGTTGTTACAGATAGTGTTGTTACAGAGAGTGTTATATATAAGTCGTTACAGAGAGTGTTATATATAAGTTGTTACAGATAGTGTTATATATAAGTTGTTACAGAGAGTGTTATATTATATAAGTTGTAACAGAGAGTGTTATATGTAAATTGTTACAGAGAGTGTTAAATATAAGTTGTTAAAGAGAGTGTTGTTACAGAGAGAGTTATATATAAGTTGTTACAGAGAGTGTTATAAATAAGTTGTTACAGAGAGTGTTGTTACAGAGTGTGTTATATATAAGTTGTTATAGTGAGTGTTGTTACAGAGAGTGTTATATATAAGTCGTTACAGAGAGTGTTATATATAAGTTGTTACAGATAGTGTTGTTACAGAGAGTGTTATATATAAGTTAATACAGATAGTGTTATATATAAGTTGTTACAGAGAGTGTTATATGTAAATTGTTACAGAGAGTGTTAAATATAAGTTGTTACAGAGAGTGTTATATGTAAGTTGTTACAGAGAGTGTTATATATAAGTCGTTACAGAGAGTGTTATTTATAAGTTGTTACAGAGAGTGTTGTTACAGAGTGTGTTATATATAAGTTGTTATAGTGAGTGTTGTTACAGAGAGTGTTATATATAAGAGTATTATATATAAGTTGTTACAGAGAGTGTTATAAATAAGTTGTTACAGAGAGTGTTGTTACAGAGAGTGTTATATATAAGTTGTTAAAGAGAGTGTTGTTACAGAGAGTGTTATTTATAAGATGTTACAGAGAGTGTTATATATAAGTTGTTACAGAGAGTGTTATATATAAGATGTTACAGAGAGTGTTATATATAAGAGTGTTATATATAAGTTGTTACAGAAGAGTATTATATATAAGTTGTTACAGAGAGTGTTATATGTAAGTTGTTACAGAGAGTGTTGTTACAGAGAGTGTTAAATATAAGTTGTTAAAGAGAGTGTTGTTACAGAGAGCGTTATATATAAGTTGTTACAGAGAGCGTTGTTACAGAGAGTGTTATATATAAATTGTTAAAGAGAGTATTATATATAAGTTGTTACAGAGAGTGTTGCTACAGAGAGTGTTATATATAAGTTGTTACAGAGAGGGTTATATGTAAGTTGTTACAGAGAGTGTTGTTACAGAGAGTGTTGTTACAAAGAGTGTTGTTACAGAGAGTGTTATATATAAATTGTTACAGAGAGTATTATATATAAGTTGTTACAGGATGTGTTATATATAAGTTGTTACAGAGAGTGTTATATATAAGTTGTTACAGAGAGTGTTGTTACAGAGAGTGTTATATATAAGTTGTTACAGAGAGTGTTGTTACAGAGAGTGTTATATATAAGTTGTTACAGAGAGTGTTGTTACAGAGAGTGTTATATATAAGTTGTTACAGAGAGTGTTATATATAAGAAGGATATTCCACATCGTAACTCAAAGTGATAAACGAAATTAGAACTTTGTCATGATATACTTTTCTTAAAGCTTTCTTCCGTAATTGTCAATAATTTGTTCCTTTCAGGTAACGTTCTCTCATACAATGTTGTATAGTCAGAGATCTGCGCGATGTAGGATATATATATATTACTTGCTCATTTGTTAAAATATTTTTGTCATTTTTCTCTCAGTCATGCAACTTACCTATACAGCTTGTTGGATACTTTGGGTTTCCCTGTTGTGATAACTTCATGTGTAGATGAGATGCTAGTTGGTGGCTTCAACTTGTATATAAATAACTTTAGGCTGAAATACGCTACCCCAAACTCGTGATGGATACATTCAAATGTTTCAGATTCTGCAAACGCATTCTGTGATCAAATTGTTGTGGCAAGTCTATGAAGAGTAACCTATTCCAATCACTGTTATCTATTTCTTCAAACCAGTTATAAAGCCTATTTTATATAATATCTATTTGGACAATACAGACTCGTATATATCAGCCGCCTTTCCCGTATTTTACTTACAGCATTATATTTATACTATGTTAAAAACTATTTAACAAGCTCAGTGCATTATATCACTTGTATTACATCTGAATTATGCTGTTAAATTAGGATCTTTAGAGATGACTTATCAGAATGTTGAAATTTTGGGTCAATCCGCCATCGTTTATGGGGCTTGTTGAACCTTAAAAGTTTACCTGAATGCATGATCGCGGTAACGTGTACGGGTTGCATTGTTGACGTCACACCATATTTCCGTAAATAATTTTATGTTTTTGTTTTTGTTTTTATTTCAGAAAAGACTCGTCCAAGCCGTTGAGCAAGGTTTGATATCAACATCACCAGTGACACTCCCTGATCCCACACAAATCTCTATCGTCATCCACACTGCCTGTCTACACTACCTATCCTACTGGGTATATGTGAGGTAGATGCATATCACCATGGTTACATACGCATGAAATGATGACCTATGCACAAATGTTTTAATATGTCTATTATATTCGTTCTTTTGTGATTTACTATAAGCTGTATTATGAGTACGATCTGCTTTAATCTTTTGTTACAAAACATGAATATCTCAATAAATAATATTTGAAACGGAAAAGTCTTACTTGTTACACACATAAGACTTTCACATCTTGTTTATCTAAAATCTTAGGACATACGACACAACGGCGCACTGTGATAACTTTTTACCTTGACGTTTTCTCAAATACTCCCCTGCTAGCCGTTTGTGTAAGCAATTTAGCGTCTATCAAACGTCGAATATATTTTGTTATTTTAACCCGAACCCTGCCGCGACAATTACCAAGTACACATAATATCAGGTGATCCTCGTACATGTTTGTTGTCGGGAATAATGAACCTTAGCAGCCGGGAGTATTACTATTTAATGACGTATATCAATGCAAAAAGTTGTATCATATATTTTTAAAATAAAAGCCATTCTCTCAAAATCCCAAATATATTTGTCCACATTCAATTGTAACTAATGTATTGCCCTTAGTCTGGAGTATAGATCCCATCTAAAAAAAGGGTTGTCAACGACATTCAAATTGCTATCATAATCGATGTTTATCATTTTTACATTAACATACTTTACTAACAGCATTGAATATAATGATTTTACAAAATATACTAGGTAACCTATCGATGAATATCCTAGTGATGTATGGGGAAAAAGAACATATTTTTAAGAATACCAAGAGCAGCTTGCACCTATTTTTTAAATAGCAGTTAATGAATACACCTATGATTTTAATATGTAAGAATGTGAAAAGATGTCTGTGTCAATCTAAAATGTGTAAGTTACACAAAAAAAATGTTTTTCTTGTTGGACCTCAAACGAGCACTCGAATGTCTCGAAAAAACATACACCGATATTGCTTTTAAATGTTTCATTCTGATTCATCAGTCAAAAGATTATCTCTGCCGCAAGTAGTGGCAAAAACATCAACACACAAAATCAACAAAACAGACAAACATTTATTATAGATGATGTTACAGTATCACAGCAGGTTTTACAAATTATTTTGTTCGTCATTTTTTCTGTTCTCAACTTTCATCCAATCCAGCAGAGGCTGAAAGTACCGCATGATGGACCCAGCGCTGATATCCAGTTCACCTGTCATCTGCTTTAGCGCCTCGGGCCATGGTTTACTCCCTCCAAGACTCATCATATCACTGTTTAACAAAACATGAAAGTTAAGTAATAGCCCACCTTGCAAGACTTTTGATTGATATGTTTACGATCACCAGCATAAAAAAAGACTGCATTCTGCAAGGAAAATTGTGCAAAATTAGAAGAAGAAAAATATTATCTATATTCATAGACCTACTGTATATTTTTCAATGATATTACTCTAAACATTTACAGAGCTTAAGTTTCGCTCAGTGTCATAAATAACTCCTTACTTACAACCAGAAGGGCAACACTTTTTCGAGATCTGTCTTTTACGTGTTCATTCCACAAACGCAAATGAAAATAAATCTCCGCGAAATATAATTGTCACAGGGCAACACTAGTCAATGCTTCGATTTAAACACAAACTATTGATCAACTTAATACTCCGAATATACATATATTATTACAAACGCGACATTTTCACAATTTAACGTCAGCTTCTCTAAGAATTTTACAACGGCGAACACGCTGATAAAAAGACAATATTATATTTATGTTACTTTAGCCAAACAATAACGATCCATTAACACACACACACACACACACACACTATAGTGCACATCAGAAAAAGATGTCAATATGCTTTCTACTTAAGTACGCTTTCCAAAGAGAAATCACTCAGATTACCGATTACAACTAACAACATTGGATCAAGAACACCAACACTCCTCGATATTTTAAGGAAAGTAACATACTGTAGTTTTTGGCCGGCGTCCTTATTTCTGTAAAAGTCACATTGGTGTAGCGGCTTGTGTCCGTGACCGGCGGCTTTACACATTGACTCGTAGAACTGGAACTGTACCACGAAACTAATGAAATACCTGAAACATAAACATACGGGTCACTTTTTGGAGTTCTGAAACAGATGTCTGAGGTTAAGTTTTCAGAGTGGATCACAAAAAGGGTGAAGGGTTGATAGCTCCGTATGATGGAAGGAATCATTGACGATGTCAGTCCTTAAGTTTACCTGATGTAGTTTGTGGAGAACTTACCGGATGTAGGGGACGCTGGCGGCTACGTGGTATTTTGCACCGGGGTCAAAGTACTCCTCCCCTCGGTGCGAAGGGGGGGATATCATCTGGTACTCCATCCTGCGTGTACATAAACAGCAACCTTTAAGTCATCAAATGTTACCTATGGTTTATGATTATAAGCTATAAGATCCTTCATTAATGTGGTTTTATTTTGATCCGTTATTATAAACAATTGAGCGAGTGATAAATGATGTTTTGTATTTCCTAAATTATTTTGTCAACAAGTTTTGATAAATTACTAGAGATACGTAAGTAATCGTTGTGCAGACACTTTTCCCATTCCAAATAAAACCCAGTCTATAACCCTCCTCTTTCAGCATTCCGTCTGAGAGTTGTCTTTGATACCCCCATCCACACACCACCTCTGCATATTTCCCTTTATTTTGTGGTTAACAAACACCTAAAAATACCCCTCATCTTCCAAACTTCTACAAAATTAAGTCTTAACCACTTCGTGTGTCAGCTGTTGTCCCCTCCCTACTTCTAACGGTGAATTTAATGCCCCACCTACATCCTCTACCACTCGGTATTTTACCTATCATATATGATGTCCTCACATTCGTTTGCTGGATAACCGAACTACTACGTAAAACCAACCAATCAATCAATCAATCAATGTCCTTGACAACACACTCCTAACCAAGCCTACCAACATCATACAGTGCAACTCATTACTATGACTATCAGGTATGATGCTCTGAATATGCCCCTATAGCCACGGTCCTTAAACGTTGACCCCGTCTACAAACTTCATTTCCTACCATCCACTACGATAGTATCAGATACGTTAAAGCACTGGCTATGCCATGACAATATATCATTAAACACGCATCTCGCCCTCTTACCAAGCCCTTAATATGATCGCTACTAAAGTTATCGTGTTTAACGCCCTGAAAACGCATTTTAAACACGCCTTTAACCTAACTTTTAAGAATCCCGCCTTCTTTCATTCTCGTCGCTGAATGCTAGATACCAGACCACACCTCCTTAGACCCGTGCAGTCTAATACCGCCTACTAACCACATTCACCACTGCCTTGTCTTAACTAGGCCACGCCTCCTTAGACCTGCCCCCTCTAATCCCGCCTACTAACCTCATCCTCCACCACTCTGAGTTGTATTCATCAGGTTTGATGGACCCCCTAAACACCGCCCACCGGTACTTGTCGATCAGTAAGCCGAACGGCAAAAAGGCAACCTTGATGAGTGCTTTCTTCATCAGGTAGTTCAGATCCGCCTCTGGAACAGTAGAAATGGTTATAGTTGTGATAGGTATGTCTAAAGAGTTTGAATACGAAGCACTATTATAGATATGATTGACGAAAGGAGGCAAGGTAGGGCTGGGAGGGGCAGGGTGGTTCGAATCTTCTTTTCTGCGATATTGAGTAGAGTTCTTTCTAAACATTACTGCTCTGGCGCGGGACAGAGGACAGCAAATTAATATTTGTACCTCAAGTATCGCTCACTGTTGTGTCCGAAGGGTTTAACTACTACATTGTTTAACTAAAATAATAAAGCTCACAATTTATATCAGGATTGTTCAAATATAGTAAAACTGTTCACCCTTTTTGTCTGAATGGACTTTCCTGGTTATAGGATGATACAACTATTATATCCGAAGAGTCTAACTCGTATTCATCCTTTTTTGTTTGTTTACCTTCAAAATTTAGACAGGTCACTCCAATTAATCCAAAAAGCAGTTAGCAAGATGATAACTTAAGATTGTGCAAGCTACACACTGAAGCTTGTACGTAACTAGCTAACATTATTAGATTTAAATTTCCTTTATAAAACTCACCCTGTTTGTCCACGGCCGGACTAGCGCATGCTACTCCAATTAATTCACACAGGTGTGTGGGTGTCCGGACAGCGTTGGCAATAGTGTCGCCGATAGCCTCGTGAAATCCCCCGTTGGCGCCCCGACGATAAACGACCGGCTGATCCTCGTACGCCATATAGTACTGGATGTGACCCATCTCGTGGTGAATCGTCTCAAAGTAGTCCATCGTCATGTTTGTACACATCTTTATTCTGTACGTCAACACACAAAATCTAATGCTAAATATTGTTATTTAATTCAAGTGTACAAATTAATTAGGTAAATCTAAACGAAATCAAGTTTGAAAATATGCGTTACCTTTACTCATATTATTTGTTTGTTTTTATACCTACAATCTTATTTTTCAGCTTATTATATAGACACATATTTAGTTTTACAACTGTTACTATAATATTTTTCAAACAATAAGATTAAAGCCGTTAAGGATATGCTCTTGTTAAAAAGCGATTTTTTTTAACGAATCACTTTTTTCAGTCATACATTATTTTAAATAGGAGAAAATGCGAAAATTATAATACAACGAAAATCGTACGTTGGCGTGCTAAGATCGTTTAAAGATACCAATTTTAGATATTGTATAATTTTCGACAAAATGTATTAATTTGATCGTTTTTAAGGCGATATCATATAATACCTTCGAAGTGTTTTATCATAAATCTTTGCGTGTTTTTTGGTAAAATTTTCTTTAAATTACGAACGAAAATTTTTCAATTATCTTTTGATCTTTGGAAACAATTTCGGTTACCCCTACCCCTTATTTTTAATTCAAATTTCCTCATTTTCTCACCGCTTATTTAGCGATTGATTTAAGAAGTTCTGGTGACTAACTTTTCTTAATATTAACTGAGTTGAAAGAAAATGCATTTCTCTTCTTTAAACAGCCAAAACATGTGCTTCCTCTTTTGCCACATTATTTCTTGTTGTTTTTCAACTTTAGTAGGATCAAAAAAGCAAAAGGGCTTCGGTCGTTATAAGTACCAATATTGTATCATTTTCCTCTTTTTTTACATATCATATTCATGAAATCGAACATTATAAACTTGTACAGCAAAAATCAACTCGCTCGAGCGAAAAACCGGTGACACAATTGCTCGTTAAACGATTAATCTAGTGTCCAAAAAAAAGAAAAAGTAAAATGTAAAAAAAACAATAAATAAAAAATATAATAATTAACATATTCAGTAGAGGTTTTCACTACGCCATGTTTTTAATCCGAATTATTAAAGGATGTAAAACCAACAAAGTGATCTTACCGGAAATCGCCATCATCATACAAGTCCCAAGCAGAAGCATGACAAACTAGACTACGGTCGGTTGGTTTTTCAATAATAGAATTCTTCCAGAATTTTCCCGTCATTTTCGGTAGTCCTAAAGACACGTAGAATTCTTCCGCCTTCTCGAACATCTTCCTCGGTGTATACCCCTGCTCTTTCAGCACCTCATCGTAATTTTCGTTTTGTATATCGTAGGGTTTCACAATATCGAAAATTCCTACAAATTCTTGTGCCCACATATTTCCTAAAGAACAAGAAAACTGAAATTAAATCGTCTTCGGTTCCAAACTTCCATTGCGTTTAACTTACATATTGCTTCCACAACTAAATGCGCAGAGATATAACATGCATATGTTACTTACCCTGCGGTTATCATATACATAATTTGGTAATAAGTGTTATTTGAAAAAACTTCCAGTCCATGTTTTTCATAGAGAGACTTTGTTTTGATGTTAAGAAGCCGAATTCCAAGCTGTAATTCATTCATAGTTAATTTACGCCTTACGTTACAGATACTACATTTTTTGCCGAAAACATTTTCGAACATAATTCGTACTTGTGATAGCCAATATATGTAGTAATTAAGGACTTGTTATAGCTGTTGATCATGTATTAACTTATAATTAGTATTTCATACGAGATTATTGGACAACAGTGGAAGCAAGTCTACGACTTTTCTGTGTTACATGTATTGTTCGTGTACTGCTCTGTTATGCATTAATGCAATGCTTTACCAAATTAAACAATCTATCAAATATGTTCGTTGAATAAAGAGCAGGTCGAAGGTGTGATGTTGTACATGTATAAATTTAAACATGTTATTTGACCGAGACCACATCAATTTATAATCCTTTGTTGCGTTTCAATTGTATGCTCATAGTTATGCTATTAGTTCTATAGTGCGTCACCGTTTAGAAATATCCTCATAAAAAAAAATCCTTTCCTTCACAGAGAAAATAATTATTCATTAATCAATTTAAATGCACAGTTTATACGAATAAATCGTCGTGGATAATAAACCTTTCAAAATCTTTCGAAACCTGGAACAGCTTGGATGTTAATTTGGGGATTCACCTGTCACTAAACAACACTTTTAGGATGCCTTTTAGGATGCCTTTTAGGATGCCTATCACGCGTGCTAATGATACAACGTTATCTGTTGCTATAGTTCACTGTTCAAATAAGCGAAGGAATTAAGGAACTACCTAATAAAGAGAATCGGTACAAGAAGCCAAACAGAGTAAACCCTTTGTTGTATCGTATGACCTGTTCGTCCATTTAGGACTCGCGAGTATGACTTAACATGAAAATTGGAAATCTGTGTCTGAAGTGTTCCAAAATATCTGTAGAAAATCGCAAAAAGGGAAAGGTTCCCAAACTCTTTAGAACGCAACAAATTTTAAATAATATCTGATATCTATAATACCTATACCTTTTCCACATAAGGCGTGTGACAAGACATGGGGCAATGTAGCGGTGTATTTGGTACAATGATAGTTACATATTAAATGACTTCACTGTCAGTTCGTTACCTATCCTTAACAGGTACTTACCTAGTAGGTGGGCGGGTATGGACCCGTCGTCTGGGAACGTGACGTCATTCTTGTAGAAGTCCTTCAGTTTATTGCGGACATATTTGTGTAGTTCCGAATATAAAGGTTTTAGTTCAGACCACAACCTGTCACACATATCTTCTATTCCAGCGATTTCGTCGAAGTCTGTTGTCAGCCATACCTCCGCCTGTGATGTGTAACCTAGTGGATGATAAAACAGTTATCCTAACCACCCAGTCTGACTTTGCCATATTGAATGTAGGCTTTTTTCGAAGTGGAAGAGTATGTACTTCCTGAAAAGTCACCAATTGTTGTATTATATTTGGTTTTTATTGTTTTTTATAAATAAATGGAAATTACATAGAAACACATGCTACTCGGTGGCGGATGTAGAGGAGAACTTCTTCACATGCAGTTAGGTTTTGTATAAAGTGAACTTTCTTTGCCGCTTTCTATTTCTTAAGGTGTTGTAGTATCCTTCTTTTAAAAAACATCCTGGATCAGCAATAAAAACGTTTTATAATAACATAGTGCTATCTTAAATGTTCAACAAAAGTATTTCCATAAAACACAACAATATATTCACACTTTAGCATTTTTTTATATTCGATTGTATTTTAATATGTTCGCCCTATCACAAACATAATAAGTGCAAATGTTAATTCTGTATTTATCATCACAACCGAGTCCCACAATTCTTACCATTATCGCTGGCTCCGATGTTCTGAAGTTCTACAAGTCGAGTATACTTTGTCTTCATCTTTGCACCTGTGACGTTACGCCATTTTTCCCAGGCTTCCCTTAACTCCGTCTCGTTTCGGCTGTTGGCCATGATCTCCGTAAGTTCCGGTTCGATTTGTAACTTCTTCCCGTTTATTTCCACCACAGCGTTCCCGTATATCTCTGTAAGGTCGGCCTCCAAATCTTCTAGCTCTCTACAATGATTAGATCATCACATTAAGGGCTACGGTACACCTGCACTGGTTAAGATTGAAGAGATAGGCAAACCGTTTGCAATCAATGATGCTTCCCTCTACAAAGGTTGTGATGTTATATAATTGGTCATGGATAGTCACACAGATATTGTCAGCAGTAATATTAAATGATATATTATTTAGAAAGAATGACTTAGTTTATAATTGGTGTATTTAACCAATTACTTAAAAATCCAGATAGTTTACCTGAAATGTGTTTTTGACAAATACTTGCAGTTATAACATTCTTGTGATGTTTATCTATGTTGTGCCACGCTTGGTTTTGTTGAAGGTGCCAAAAGATTTGGGTATTAACAGTGTTCATGAAAACGGCGGTTATTTGCATACTCATGGCTTACCAATAAGCTGATTAATGTTTATGATGTTGTTTCGATTTTTTCAAATAAAGAACAAGCTCAAAGATAAGCTACCTTGTCCCATATACAATATATACATTCACGCATTGGCCATTTCGAGGTCCCTATACCGTTAGGTTTGGAATAGCGCACATGTACTTATATGAATCCTTCTCATCTTTCTAACTTATCTGCTAGTATTGTACATGATCATATTAGCGAGCTTTTAAAAGTAGATAGGGATGACAAATGTAGAGTGAAGACAGGTCTGCAAGGTTCTCTCACAAGGCAGAACCTTCTAAATAACACAAAACAGTGCTTTTCTATCAAAGATTAGTCAAGATCTGGAACGATTTGGAACCCAACATTGTACATGCAAATAGGTTCTCTTCAATGAGAGTTTGAACTTGTAATATAAACTGTAAAAGACTAACATCACTTCTTGTTATGCACATAAGCTAAAAGAGGTCGTATCATCAAGTTTGACAGAGGCATCCCAATAGTACAAGAACAACTCTTGTACTTAACATAACATCAAAATAGACTCAAATAACCTCGTTGGTAAACGTGTAGAGGAATAAGACCACGTTGCACGGAGGGAGTCAAACATAACAGTATTCTGCGTTCTAATAAGTTAGCAAGAAGACAAAGAATTGTGGCAGTGCATCGACAACTTGGACATGACGTTAGGGAGTGCCGACAGTCATTTTTAACTAGCCCTTTTCACTACCAGACCCAGACGACACTGGCTTTGGAGGAACATTTCCCCTGCTGAAACCATGGTACAAGGAAACGTATATGCTTAAAACTCCATAGAAAGATATTTGAATTATATACACAAAAACGTGTTTAATGACTTTTATATTCTAACAATGCCAACTTGATGTCAAAAATGGAGAGGATAAAACTTGAGACCAAGCATGATATCATATTCGTGACAGATGTTCTCATAACACCATCTGATCGAATTTTATCAAACAACTTTAGCTTACCAGCGCATTAACATTGTATCTACATCATTAAATATTACATTTTAATGCAGAAAATTAGCTATATACAAAAGAAACGGTCATATTGCAGTATAAATAACCGACCTTTTAAGAACACAATCTGGTGCAAATAATCACTATAAAAGTCAACTTATTACCGAGGAATCCCGAAAGTTGCTAAGTGCTTTCAAATAATGTCGAGGATATATCCAGACCAATCGAACCAGTGTAAACAAGCTTACAAGAAAATACGACAAATAGATATAAAGATATGAACCCTTTTTTAACTGTAAAAATTAACTAAAGAACATGTAACATATGTAAAATGAACAATGTAAGAGTTTTAGTTGAAAAAAAGAAGCTCTGAGGTAGGATGGTTGGTTGTACAGGGTCATTTAATCCTTTCACCACTGTATACCATAACGGCTCATCCGGATGAATGTATGGTAGAGTATATTAAAGTTACCTAGGGAAGAAAGGGTTAAAGCTCCGAGGACCACAAATTACCAACTATAACAATATTAAGATAAAACACTGAGGAGAACGCGCAACCTAAACAAACCAAGGAAGAATATTTCAATGTGGTCAAGATATGGGACGTCTAACATAGACCGAGTTCATGTAGATCCAGGAAAGGAGTAGCTGGTGAGCACGCAGTAACAACATGGCCCACTTGTATAAATGATCTCAACTCTTGAGATTTCCTCAAGTCTAAGATTTCCCATAGACAATACATTGCTTGAGATTTTCCTTAACTTTGAGATGTTTCATACAAGTGGGCCCATGTCTCTGAAACTAAGGGTGCCCTCACCAGGGACCAACATGTAATCATGACATGAAGAAGAAACGAGTACTATGTATTCTTTATGTCTTATTTACTTTTGTCGTCATCATTTTATGGACAATATTTATGTGTGATATATGTATTCCGGAAACCGGAAGTGCACAACTAAAAATTGAAACAACATACCGGGATGTAATACGCAAAAGTCAAAACGCAGATCGGTCAATGCTGGGTGTTCTATTGATGGTTTTAAATTCACACATACTACGTATATAACATATGAACGAATGTCTTACTTGACTCTCTTCGGGTCTTTAGGTGAGAAGATCTGGTTTAGTAGTTTGAGTTTTCTGCTGGTATCATTTGAGAAGTTTTCGTTCTGACATTTTGCGGCTTCCTCCCCTAACCCCCGTTCATACGCCGTAAATCTCACATTACTTTCCGTCATCTGCAATAGAAATCATAGACTACTGTCAGGCTAGGATAACAAATTAGCATCGTGACGTCACAGTTGATATGCTTCTGCTGACAAAAAGGTCAAGAGGTTTGACTTCTGCAGAATGTAACAATTTTGGTGTATCTATGAAGAATACTGTCAGCTTTGTAAATTCCGGTCTAGAATGTGTTAATACGTGTAATTTGTCTACGATATTTTTGAAGTGAAATATCCGTGTTGATTAAAGGTTTTTAAGTTGTTTTATTAAAATTAAAAAGGAGCACATCGACCAAAATAATTGAAAATTATATCATTCGGTCGAACATTTATAAAAACTGGTTTTCTGTGTTCTTATACTAAAACAAACTAAAGGAATGCACTAAATTTGCTGTTCAAAAAGAACTGTTCGAAATACCTAAATAAAGCGTAATTCTTCTATCAAAATTAATATATATATATAATGAATATTTTAGCAAATATTGTTATGGTCCTATAACACACATCTCTATTGCTGACAAACTTACATAAAGCCCTACCGGGACCATAACTACATTTGCTAAAACATTACTGCTTAAGTAATATAATCAATGAAAGTGCCAAATGTATACTACGTGTACTTAGGGAGAGTAAGTGATATACATCACAAACCTTCTGTTTAGTAGCATCGGTAATGTTCGACTCGTAATTCCAGCTATCCACCACATTTCTGTTCATCTCAATCCGATGTTCCTCATTGGTTCTTCGTAGCCAATCACGAGTGACCTCTTCATCAAGTGAGCTACATGATCTCTCTGAATTATGAATATTTATGATGGTAAATATAAGAAACTACGGGAGAGAGAGAACAAAGATACTTTGAAAAAATATTATTGACTAGTAAGTTCACCTCCCGACACATTAATTATTTCACTATTGGCAGAGACCCGGATGACACTTTAAGGCAAAAAAGACAGGAGAACGTGACATTGTTCAGGAAAACATTAAATTTAAGGATATCGATATCACTTTAAACACATACCTTTACTTTTGAACTTTTCATGGTTGTTTGTTTTGTCTGCTTCGATATCGAGCATTAATTTATATTTGATTTCAATGATCAATTGGCGGAGGTAATCTAGCTTCGTGTCGGCTTCTGCAACCTTCCGGTTCCATCCGTCCGCCAGAAGAAATAATCCCAAGAAAACCAGTAAAAATTTCATGTCATTTCCGTTTTGTTCTGAAAGAAAAAAAGAAAAAAATTACAATCTTGTTTCGTGTAAAATTGTATAGGCGTTGCCTTGTTATCAGTCGACAGACGGAATTTTTGAATAAGTTATTCATGTTAATTTGAGACTATCGTTTTGAAATATTTTAAACTTAATAACGTAATTATAAAACAATAGATACTACGGACTGGAATGTTCGGTTGGTCCTATTGACACCCTGAAGTCCTATCGACTAAGATAGTAACCACAAACACGAGTAACTGAATATTTATGTGACGTACTTCCACCGGAAATGGCAATCTTGAATTAAACAAAACATATATATGATATAATCGTCCAAAATAGTTCACACGTAAACAGAAGTAACTTCAACAGACAACCAAAAAACTAGCATGAAAGACATATGCTTCCTAACACACCCACCTGCACTGTTTGAAATCTCTAAATCACAGGAGCTGGACATATTGTTATTATTAATAAACTTTATATAGGTTCAGACGGTATACAATTAAAAACTTACCTTTTCCTGTGAACATTGTAACACTAACTGCAAATGTTACTGTCACAACTGACTTTAAAGTGTTAATGGGCCGTAAAACAAAACAGCTGTTATCAGTGGTCGATATGGATTGCAAACATATTATCCATACGATCATAACAGTACCAGGCCCTGTGAACCTTCCACCTGGCATCGGTTGTGTCCCAGTGCACAGGGACGTGAGAATTTGCTACAACAAAGGTGTTCAGAGTAATTTTACACGTTTGAGGGGTTTATACGGATTTACGGTTCATTGGAGAGGGGGTGGGTTTTTTTTATTGAATGTTGATCTAAAACCATAAAGCGTGTAAAAGTACCCTGATCACCTTAGTTAAGGTCAAAATATAGTTATATTATATTATATTTAAACAAGTTACCAGGTTCCTGTGTCCCAGCGTACACCATATTAAGGATCCCCGTATCAATGACAGAAATTGTAACCATGCATCGGAAGCTTTCAACCAAAAAAAATAATTAACCAAAGCTTAAGTGGGGGTTTTCTGGTCCATACTATAGTAATTAAAGCCCGAACAAAATTAAGGGGGTTACAGTATATACGAAAAACTAAAACAGGATCTCTAGTATTTTGCCTGTAGCGAGACAGGAATCCTTTAAAACTGAACACATGTATTCTATTTAGTGACAATATATGTCAATCGTGACGACATTTGAAAAGCATTTAAATGTAGGCCTTTGTTGTGACAAAGCGTGTTACTATACACAGTGTATATAATTAACACCGTCTACAAACAAAGAGCCCAGACCGGTTCAACCATACGGGTATATTCAAATTCAAATTCATTTATTGACTTTGAGCTTTACAGCTCATCAGTATGTACACAATACATATAAATACAGTGGCAGACACTGCAATAACGCAGTGGAGAATGGACAAAAAATGCATGTAGTTACATATATTTTAACATTATATCATGCTATTCCTCAACTGGGTGGCATCATATATATATTTACTTAACATAGTTAATTCTTTAACGTTCGTTGTGCTTAATAATTGAATCAGCTTGAAAACAGATGGTTTTTTCCAGTAGTACAATTTTATACGTCTTTCTCTTAAAACTTGATAAAATGGACAAATGAACAAAAAATGGTATTCGTCTTCAATATCTTCAGAGTTACAAATTCTGCATATACGTTCATTTCTTACAATGTTTCGATATCTCCC